AAGTAAAATCACTAAATGTACAAAACAAATAGACAATACTGAAAGCTGCAAAAGAGAAACAACAAGTCACATATAAAGGAAAACCCATTAGGATTACAGCTGACTTTTCAGTGCAAACTATGGAAGCCAGAAGAGCCTGGACCAAAGTAGTCCCAGTTTTAAATGACCACAGATGCCAACCCAGATTACTATACCCAGCCAAAATGTCTATTATGGTCAAAGGGGAAAGAAAAATCTTCCATGACATAAATAGGCTGAAGGAATTCATGTCCACAAAACCAGCCCCTTCAGAGCATTCTGGAAGCAATACAAAGAGGTGAAGAAAGGAATGACTATACTCAAGGGGTTGCAGAAAGAAATTCAATGAAGGTATAACTGTGGAAAAGAACAGATATATCAAGAATGTAAACAAATATAAAAAGAGATAGAAACATTGAAGAAAACTCAGGCAGACACGAAGAAGGAAGTGCAAAACTCAATAAGCTGACTCGAAACAACAGGGGAAAGTCTCACCTCTAGAATGAATGAAATGGAAAACAGAATATCAACACTGAAGGATAAAGTTGAAGAATCGCACCACTCAAGCAAAGAGTATGGAAAATTTTAAAAGACACGGGAACGGAATATGCAAAAGATGTGGGACATGAAAAGGCCAAATCTATGGATCATAGGAATAGAGGCAGGAGAAGAATTTCAGGTTAATGGTGCTGACCAGATCTTAAACAGGATCCTAGAAGAGAATTTTCCAAACAAAGAATAAACAGAGAGATGAGACACATCTGAATTAAATGATACCATACGTCCAATGGACCGAACAGTTATCTTTCAAATATTCCACCCAAACACCAAAGAATACACTTTCTACTCAGCACCCCATGGAACTTTTTCAAAAATGGACCACATACTGGGCCACACAACAAACCTCAACAAATACAAAAATACTGAAATAATTCCATGCATTCTATCAGACCACAATGCAATAAAGCTTACAGTCAACACTGGACGAAGCCCTAATCACCACATGAATACATGGAGACTAAACAACAAACTCCTGAAAATGAATGGGTCAAAAGAGAAATTAAGAAAGAAATAAAAGTATTCCTAGAATTAAATGAAAAGGACAATACAACACAACAAAACCTGTGGGACATGCTGAAAGAAGTCCATAGAGGGAAGTTTATAGCTCTAAGTGCCTACATCAAAAAATCGGAAAGAACACAAATAAATGACTTAACATTGCAACTCACTTAAAAGCAAGAACAAATGAAACCCAAACCCGGCAGACAAGAAGAAATAACAAAAATCAGGG